TTTTACAATTATTTTAATATTGCAAAAACTTATAAAAGTGAATTTAAATCAGGAATTAGAAAATGGATTAATGTAAATTCAAATAAAACATTGAGATAAACTTTGTGTGGCCTAATACATGTATTAACACTACGCTCAAGACTTTTCGCAGCATTCTAAAATGCTATTGAAAGATATAAACAATTAAATTTTTTAACAAAGAAGTTACCGTTACGCAGTATTGTCATTTGGATGGGATGGGTCATTTAAATACTTCCGTTACGGGTAAAGCTCTTAAAGTCATTCGCGCATAATGTACATGTACAACATGTACATGTATGGAAGTCACAAATGACATAGAAATTCCGATTAGTACATAAATAATGTTTGATTCATAATGGGCAAACAAAACAAAGAATTCAGTTAAAAAACATATGTGATTTTAATGATACAGTGATTTTTGTTCTTTTGTACATGCACTGATGCGGCCGAACCAGACAAATTTCAATGCTATTAATTGAATTAGTTCACAGAAGACCGTGCCGTTCTAAAATAGGGAAAGAAAATGAGGTTTAACTAAGGTACTGCGGAGGCAGAAGTATGTATATATAGCGATGAACAGAGTCTAGAAAAAAGTTATAAGTTTTTATAAACGTTAAAAAATAAAAATGATTTTACCGTCAATTGAAGACACTTCAACAGCTGGACCTATAAAAACTGCCACCCAATTTTTTCATTTGAATCAACTTACAACAGGACTTGATTTATTCGATAAAAAACAACCAATCGTAATTATCGGTATTCATGGGTGGCAACCAAAACTAATACAACCATTTGTAAAATTAGATTCTAAAAACTTCTGCGTGAAAATGGCTGAAGCAATCCGCCGAAAGCTGAACTTAGGTCCAAACGAAGGCGATATTACAAGTATTGCGTTGGATGGATACGGATTAGTTTTAAAGCGACGAGATACTTTCTTGAAGCAAATACAAGGCAATCAGATGAACAGCGATAAAATCAAAAAGGCCAAAACTTTGTTCGTTGTTGGACATTCGCAAGGAGTTCCCGTTAGTGTTCTTTTGTTGCAGCAATTGATTGAAGTCGGATTAGTCGATCCCGATCAACAAAAGATTTGTGCTTGCTTGATGGCGGGAATTTCGCAAGGACCGATTTCGAGATTCGATCCTGCAAAGAAACTTGCTGAAATACTCGATGATGATCAATCAGAGGAGCTGTTTGACTTTCAAAAGTCTTCGTCACTAATATCGAGGGAATATCGTAATGCTACAATTAAAATATTAAAACGTGGAGTCAAGATTATATATTTTGCTTCTGGAAATGATGACAAAGTGCCAGTAGATATTTTAATATTTATATTCAACCCTTACGTTATTAAAATTAATTAACATTATAATCAATTCTTCTATTAGCTTCATTCTGCATTATACTCGAGTATGGATCATCCATCAATTGAGCGTGGGATATATGTCGCCGATTCTATATATGAAGAAAAAAAATTTGTGGCAGATCTAGTGAGAATACTTATCCGACTCCGAAACAATAATCATTCTGATCATGGTCTATTGGTTCTCTTGAGTGATTCTTTAATTGGATACTTAAAAGACCATGGCCACGCAGGTTTAACCGTAGAACCCGAAGCCTATGAGTAAGTATCATATGTAGATTTGTTCAATATATTACATTTTATAATTATTTATTTTTATAAAAAAAACAGACACGCGGTCGATCATTTATATATGTCAAAAGAATATAAAGGCGTCGACGCAAAATTCATCGATTTTGATTACACATTACTTGCAAAACCACGTCAAACTTACATACCATGGGCAATGCGCGGTCTATTAACCGACGAAAAAACAATCATTACTGAGAAGCTTATTCCTGATTTTAATAGCTTACGACAAAACTTTAAAACTTGGTCGCCTAGCCCGTTTGACTCAGTAGCGATGGAATTGAAGTGTAACTTACAGCCATTTGGAGATGATACAGAGGAACAGTATTTTGAGGTGTACCAGAATTTGTCTACGAAATTATAAAGAATAGTTTATTGAATAATAATCCAATTTTTGATAGATATTATATTTATATTGCTAATAAAATAACATACATTTATTTGTATCATTACTAATAAATAAAAGATACAAGCAACTCTTGATATAAGAAATTCACCCGATAAGAAATTTTTGCTATATGACTAAATGGAGTTGTATAGACTATTCAGAATAATCTAATTAAAGAAATCTTATGACACATACTCGATAAATACTTTTTTACCACAATATTATAACAAAACATTTTTAAAACAACAGTTATACGAAGCAATAAAGGGAAAAGGGTACCAACTTAAATTACACAACATGTCTTCCCTTTCGTAAGTAACCCCATACCACTAAACCTTTTCCATTGCCTCGTCCTGATAACAAAAGGTCAAGTCGATTTAAAATATGGTTTCACAATTGGGTAATGGAGCTAGTAATAGTGATACAATGAAGCAGACTTGTGCACGGGATTCGGTGTACTGGCTATAAAAATTTGTTCTATTGCCAAAGATGATGCAGATTTTTTAGATTGGATGCTGGGAATGGTATTAATCTTAACGCCGATCACATGTAATGTACTGTTACCATTACTTCGATAATTCCAAATTTCGGCAAAGATTCTCTATATTAAAGTTTATAATTTTATTAAACAATAATTTTTATTTTTATATCAAAATAAAGTTCATAAGCTATAGTTTAATATATATTTTTTAGATTTTTTCTGAAAGAATTGTTCTAATTGCAAATTTTTTTCTAATTGAATTTCATTTTTAATTAGAAAACATTTTACAATGACTCTGCAATTAGAACAACTTTGTTAGAAAACATCTAAAAAATCTGAAAAAAATATATATTAAACTATAACTTATGAACTTTATTTTGATATAAAAAATAAAAATTATTGTTAAATAAAATTATAAATTTTAATATAGAGAGGAGTTTTTAATTTTTACTATATTTTATTAATAAAATGCATTATTTTCAGCTGTCATTATATTAATTATTTCTTAAAATAATTTATAACTTGAAATTCTGTTTATATAATAATTATCAATGCTTTAATTAAAAAAATTTATTATTTTTTTATTTAAATCTAATCTATTTATTAGTATCAGAATATAGTAACTTGTTAAAGTTAAATACTTTCAAAATATCTTTAATTTAACAATCATTTTTATAACTATATCTATTTAATTGAGTTTTTCAGTTATTAAGATATAGTTGTATATCTTTATAATTATGCAATTTTGCTTTTTCAAGAATAGTATGTAGCTTAAAAATATTTAAATATCAGGAATAAGATCTCATTGTTACAACACTTTCAAAAGCCAGCTATAATAAAGCATTTTTTATAATTATATTTATCATAAAATTTCTATAATTATTTTTACGAAGTGACTATGGAAATTAATTTAGATGTTAAAATATTATTTGAGATTGAATAATATGATTTGATTGGCTAAATTTTTTGGAATTGATACAAATGATGAGTTCGGAATACATATATTTGATAAGAAGCTTTTGGAGTCGAATATAACATTTCTACAAAGAAATGATTTGAATAAAACTTCAAAAAATCTTTCAAGTTATGAATTTTTGATTTGCCAGTTAATTTAACGCTGGATAATATTTTCGAAATGCAAATTTTTCAAATTATTTGCTATAGTTACGTGATTTATGTGATACAACGATACATAGATTAATTGATGTGATTGATTTTACCGAAAAATCATGCACATTAGCCAAGAAGATTCACGAATTCTTATAAATGTATTGCAAGTAAAAGTCATTAACTTAATAATTTAATAATTTTAATTTAATTTATATAATAGAATTAAAAATTAAAAATGAAATCTGTAAGCGCTCCTACCCATTTCAGATACCTAAGCTTGGTTTTCGCCGTGAGTATGCTCTCAATTTTATTTGTCACTGTACCATTAAGGATTCATTCTTCAAAACGTGATGATGTTGCTGCCATCGATCCAATCAACAAAACTCGCAAATCATTCATGAATAGACGTCTCTTCAATCATAACAAAGACGACAAGAAAAAAGACACCGGTATCTTAATAAACAATCAAGAAGCACACGAATCAGAGCTTCAACGCGAACTCCATCAACATTTCGAAGAAGAGAGCGAAGACTGGTGGGAAGTCCAACGTTCATACGAATATCAAACAGCTGACTCTTTGGGTGACCTATTCTTGGTTGAAGTCGAAGAAGCGCAAGTAATTCACAAGCAGCACGCACAACTGGATGATATCCAACTTGCTGAGGATTATCAAACTCAGGATGCATCACAAGAAGTTCTTAATATCAATGATGGATTACAGAAAGGAGCGACAAACGCTAACTCAACGGCTATTGCTGCTGAGGAGATTGAACAACATCAACGTGAGGATATGTTGGAGGTCAAGCAGTACCAAAAGATTCATGTTGTCCAGGTAAACCTTTTTGGATTGTTGAAAAACGAGTATGAAGAAGAACGATTGGTACAGTACGAGTATTCGTTATCGATTGATGCGTTTAATGAGTGGGAATATTCGGCTTCAGAGGATAATCAGAGTGCTGATAATTTTGTTTTGGGCAACGCTTAATCAATTATAGTTAACTATATTTATGTATTTTTATATAGTGTATGTTTATTTTAATTTTCTTGATATCAAAATCATATATGTCAACTTAACTCATAATTGATTTTAAAATATGAGTTATCTAGAATCAAATCCGATCTTAAATTTTTTGAATAAAAATCTCAAAAATACCATTTGTAAAGTTGTTTATGCTAGTTCTATTATTTATAATTATCATGCTGTTAAAGTTGTATTACTTTTTATAATTGTACTTATTATTTTAGTGTAAAAACATATCATAAACTAGACAAACATATTTTTTTCTTTGATAGTATTTGAAAATTCTCAATTTATGAACATAAATAATTTATTATTCTATTCAAATATTTATTTTTTAATTTATTATATTTAA